GTGCCAGATTTTCGATAAGCCAGAGCCATCTGATTTGCTTCTGCCGTGTTACGGCAATCGTAGTTGTTCGTTCTCTGGCCGTTTGTTCTAGCAATTCCGTCGTCTCAGACATCTCGAAAGCTGATCAGTAGGTTCTCTTCGTTTCGACATTCGATTAAATTCTCCCTCGGTGCCCCTTAGTGGAACTTTTGCAGCAATTTCCCTACCACTCGTAAAGTTAGCTCATAAATAGCTTTAACTGATGCCATATCGAGTGAAGCAAGACAAAGGGTATTTCCCTCATTCATGGTTATCCTTTCAGTATTCCCTTGGCAATGATAATATGATTAATGTTAGTGAGTTCCATGCATTTGATTAACTTAACTCTTAGATTCGAATACTCCACGTTCGGTGAATAAGTTCATCTTTTGCTTAAAGTTCGCACTATTTTACTACTGTTTCTCATCGTTGACTGAGCTGCTTCTTTTCAGGTGCTCCTTTAGGTTACTCAGACATGGGATGGAGCTGATTGCAATGATCTGAACTCAAAAGAAACTCTGATTCTTTTACGTTATTGTCTTTGCGTAGTAAATCGACAATAGCTGTATTCTTCATAGTTTCATTCTCGGTTTCATTTGTTTGCCTTTTCTCACTGTCGTTTATAAATTTGTCATCTAATTTTTACAAAAATATGTATTTTCTTTGATCTATCCTGAAAAACAAAATGCCTTTATGATCTTGCTCAAGTAGTGAGCTTTCATTATTGCTTTTTGCCGCTGTGATCACCATCCTCTAATGGTCAGCTTGTATTGAGATCATCAGCGAATAAACTTACTTAATAGGTGCGGCAAAGACATCACTAGTTCCTAATTCTCTTGAGCAAGGAATTTGCTCCACTGCGCATCTGATGCACACAGACGAAAAATAACCATCAAATCGCTGACTAGGAATGCCGCAGACAGCATGATATTCTTACTTATCCAATGTTAATGTAGGCTAGGAATGTGACCATGCTGTCTGATCACAACTCCAATTTACAATGATATATCAAACGGCTGATTTTATTAACATGTAATGTAAACTATGAACAAATTAAAATTAAACAATCGGTAACATATTCTGCACATTCTATGAGGACTAGTTAACCCCATCACATCTCTTGTTAGGATACTGTATAATCAGCTATGCGAATCGAAACATCACGGCTCATGATTCGACGTGCTATGGCTGCTGGAGATTATGATAACGGCAATCAAAAACTGTCATATTAAAAAAAGAACGGTTACACCTGGGCCCTAATGTCGGTAGTGGGGTATCGTCTGAGCCATGATTGCTTTCGTTGAGCATCATTCACCATGTTTATGCTGTTTTTTTAGTCTGACTGCCAGCGTTCGAACAAGCAACGTATTTCCGGGATACAAACACGACAGCAGAATCTCAAAGACCAGATCCTTCTGCAAATTTCGCCTCTTAATCCACTTGTCCCCTTGAGCGACCATCATTCGATTCATCTTAGAACCTGCGGACTTCTTAGAAAGTTTTATCTACCATATGTTTTCTTATGTTATTATTTTCCAGTGCTTCAGTCGAGATTGCCTATTCGCCCTATTCCGAAAAGAGGAACAGGTTCATACGCACAGGGGTGCAACGTCTTGAGCCAACAAATCTGACGAACTTATTTAAATTTGGACAGGTCTTTCGTTCATGCTTAAATCAGCTGAAACGTTATTATCCATGAAACATGAGAGATAAAATAGAGGCTTCCATTTCGTTCCACTCAAAGGATCAAAAAAACACTTATGTCTAGCGTTGACAACATTTCTCAACCGAACGACAAATCCTGCGAGTATTTTGACTGCAGTTTATGCTGTG